ATACAACACATGTAAACGATAAACACGCATTGGTTTATCATCATTCATTATTATTAGTTCCGTAGAGCAGCTTCTGCATGTTCTTATGTATGTAAAGTGTTTGGATGTGTGGTACTGTTACTAAAAACAAGTAGTCTAATTGATATAAAGGTAATGTGTTCGCTCTTCTTCTACACAGATACAGAGGTTACTTACCAATTTATTTCCCCTCTTGATCTCCCTTTTCACATCATCGAGGGAAAATCCTCCAATGTTTTCGCTGTCTGAGTGAGATGTGACCAGGGCAGAGGAGAAAAGCTGCGTGGGACATTTGAAATAAGTATAAATGTGAACGTTGTACAATATCTGCATCTTCATTTCCATCATGCTACTACTGTTGGACTATTTTCAATATGAAGTGGGAGGGTTAACATAGATATCATGTCATCATCGATTATTTTAAACTTATCATAAAAACCTGCATTTGTCAGTTCTATATGCCATATTTTTAAATGGTGTTTTCTCAACTTGGAGGTCATGATCACCAATGGGAGAAGAAACAAATTGGAGCCCTTCGAGATAATGTATAGGATATGAACCATTTATTTCGGCTATATGCTTTTTGAACTGTGGCGGAAAAACACAAATCCCATAGTTTTTGTGGCTAAAGTTGACAAGATTCTCAGGTAAACATGACTTATTCTAGCTGAAGGGTGATAGGGTTGAGAGCAGGGATCTCTCCTCACCATGCACTTATGGTGGGCTGCCACCTTCTGGCCGTCAGACAGCAGCAGCTGACCACACTCCTTGTCCCGGTTGGTTCTGCAGAAGGCACATTTAAGGAGCCGCGCTGCCGCTCCTTTCCTCTGTCCCGACATAACCGAAGGCTTTCTGGTTGGACCAAGACTCTAATAAATGAAAACAAAAACATCACAAAAAGGTGAAAGGTAAGAGGAGATAAGGATGGAAGGCTGGTAGATCCTTACAAATAGATGTTATTAAAGCAGTTATACAATTAATTGTCCAGCCTTGCCATGTCATCTGGATATATATCAGGTTCAGCGTTCATACACATTTAGATAAAAGCTAATATGATTTAAATAGGATGACATATTAATTAAAAGTCAACAATTAGTCTTCTAACCAATCAGATGATTGACAGAAGATTAATTGGCAACTTTTGAGATTATGCATCAAAATCCTTATTCATTCAAAAATGGCAGCGAATTCTGTTTTTTAAGTGTAAGATTACCTAATACTCTCTGATGATGTCATATTAAAAAGGGTTATTTTTAATTAATATTTCGTTTTGGCTGACAAAACCAGGCATGTTAAGACATTACCTTGGAGTTTGGGTAACCAGGATTGCATTTTTTATTTTATTTCTGACATTTTATATTAAGATTAATCTAGAAGATAATCAACATATTTGTTAAATCACCTACATACAGTTTGTAGATGATGCACAGAGTCCTTAGCAATGAAGATAAAGTCTGAATGGTTCAAGTTATGGCCGAATATCAGCATGAAAGCAATACAAATAAAACATATTTAGGTTGAAGGGTTCAAAACGAGGGATACACATTTGTAAATCTGCATAAACGTAATGTTAACCAAACAGCCAGCCCAAAGAAAAATGCACTGTGAACAAGTTTGTCCTAAAACTAAATGCAAGTATTGTGAAATCATTTTGGATGGCAGCCTTTAGGAACTCTTTCCCAGAAACAGCTGGAAACAAAACTTTGACCATAGCCCCAAGAAACTCCAACAAAGAGCACCAAAGAAAAGCCCTGCTTCCTACAAGAACTCAGGAAGTGTATAATATATCCTAGCAAAACCTCTGATGGATCACAGCTTGACATTTTCCCAACCTAGTTCAATTAATTCAACTGTGCTAAGGAAAGTTTTTGATGACATGTAATGTACGATAACTAAAATCCACGGAACAAGTGGCTGTTAAAACTGCTGACCATTATCAACATGTTTTGAGATCCTTCGTATGTTTGAGGAGGATAACAACCAGATTGTTTAGGCCTATGTTTTGTTGTTAAAGGAGGCAGCTGTGAACAATATCCTCTCAACATAGACTGACAGCCCTCACATATCAATCAGACTGAACAGGAAATAGGATCAAGGAAATCTGATGTCCAGTTTTGTAGTTTTTTTTCTGCAAATGATGCAACATGTTTTACCATTCCGCAAAGTCTTCTCTTCTAGTTTATCACATCTCATCTGCCCCACATTACATACATAACATAATATACTTTAAAAATGCAATCAGTGGAAAATATGCAATTTTAGAATGATGTTCCTTTTATGAGCAGTAAAGACAGCTGCATTTGCAGGACATTCAAATGTCACTATTGTATCATTTTCAGCTGCATTTCTATCAAACCTTTATATTATATATAAATCATAATTTTCTTGGAAATGATGCAAGCTTTGTTGCATTTTCATCACAGTATTCTTTAAAATAGAGATCAAACCTCTTTATGTGTGCTGCCATTGCAGAGATCGCCTGTTTGATGTTGTTCAAAAATCGCCTCAGGCGCCATATATATGTTAAATATGATAAGAAAAAGATGTGCTTAATCCTCAATAGTCCATAAGCGAAAATGGGTGTTATTTAAAAATCACAAAAGCAGTGTGCAGCGACGCCTTGATAGAGCCATTACAGCCATGATAGCAGGGCCGGGATTTCACTGCGGCGGAGGCAGCGATACACACACACACACACAACACTGCCGTGTAAATAACACCAAATACCCTTTAATTCAACCTCTGCCTCACTAACATGCTTTCATTTCACTATCCTGCCCTTTATATCCATACTGTGTTCGATTTGTGAACAGAACAAGCGAAAAATAAAAAGTGGCTAAAATTTCTCCTACAAAAGTTTTGAATTAAAGGGGGTGTGTGTCTCTTTCTCCAACAAACCAGCTATAACAGAAAACTAATTTCACTATGAACATCTCAACGCCCCAAAATCTCTCACAAGGCCTTTTCTTGTAGGAAAATAGGGTCGGTGGTAGGAAAATATGACTCTTCCTACATTGTGTTGTTGTTGAAATGCTAAAAACAGCGTTTATTTCCCTTTAAATGTGGGAAATTATCATGACAGGCGCGGGGGTTCGCAAACCGTTTCGAAGTAAAGAGCGCCATACGTGATGTGTCCCTGTGAAAGAGAGCAGCTTGTTCACCAGCAATACGGCCTGAAACCACAATAGGCCGTACAACACAGCGGGTATCTGAAACACGCTGACACACAGCTCACATCTTACCTGCTAATATAATTATTATGGCGCTGAGGAGGTGGAAAAGATGGGAAAGTGTTCCGAGAAGTGACTGTGTTTCTTCCCGTCCTTCAGAAGTGATCGTGGGCTTTTTCGCACTAGTAGCATCAAGCTAGCTGCTGTGCTCAAGGCAGCTGGACACTTCCGGGTCTGGCTTTCAAAAATAAAAGTCGCGTCCACGAATGTTTGTTAAAATGTTTCAAACGTGAAAATTATGCAGGAGGTCTGAGTATGTAGGATGCAAAAGTGCTTTACAAAAATACCTCCTAGAAATCCTGAAGCATCAATATCCCAAAGGTGGGCCGCACTTTATTCAGATTTAAATATGTTTAAGTTAATTATTTCTTTTTTAAATTGTATTCACACAGCATAATAAACATATTATGAATACACAGACACTTTCTGGAATTAAAGCACTGGCAAACAAATGTCATGCAATGTAGGCCTACATCAATACAAAGTGTATAGTTGTTTCCTTTTTAGGATATATGATTAGTGCAATGCCTATTGTTTGATTTTTGGAAAATAGACCATCGAAAAGAAGTTTTCACCCTTAACATGTTAAATCCAGACAAGGACTAGTCAAATGAACACATAATTAAAAAAAACATTGCTATTATTAAATTGTAAAATGGATACTGTTTTATTATGGTAGCTAGAGAAGAGCAATAAGCAGCTGGACCTACGCATCTGAAAGATGTGATTTAAACCATGAATGCAGTTTACTAAAACCAATAAACAACAGCGTATTTAACAAAGTTTTGCCATCAATAGCATAAAAGTATTTTACAGATGTACAAATTGTGCTGCATGTGTTGGTGCTTTTTATCAAGAGAGTCAATAATAAAACCAGAATGTCAGCAGCACTATGGTCAGATCAAAAGCTTGACTGCTCCAAGTGAAAGACATTTTTGTCCTCCATAAAGTCTTGTAGTTGTATGATGGCCAAAGAGTCTTCTCCAGACAGACTGTACAGTAAAGACAGGACAACCATCACCTCTGTGTAATGGAACCTGAGCAGTAATTGCTAAATACCATCAACTACATGTTACACAGAGGTGGATCTCTAATGATTTTGGAATGAAATGGGAGCCACAAAGAGCAACACCGTTCAACAACGTGCATCACTTAAGGCTAGGAACTTGTTTATATTAAATGTTAAATTGAATTAGATTAAAATAAATGTAATCAAATATATATATGTCCCGTTTAATGCGTGTTAGAGAGGGGTGCATTGCATAAAGAAAAACATGTCTGTTAATTAGCAAAGGAGTTGTATTAATTGCATATCCCACAATATACTGGATTAATGTTGAGAACTTGATGAAGGAAAACTACTACTATTAAATATAACGTTTAATGTTCTCCTATGTTTTACACATATATATTCTACGTTGTTTATAAAAGTTATGTTCCAAACACATAAAATGAAAATGGCTGTCTAATCTTAAAGCCTAACAATTCTTAACTACATTTCTGTGCCTTATCTTTTTTGATAATTCGGGTGCACTCGATTACAGTTACAGGGCATTCCGACAAATGAGGCTTCCAGTGTGTTCTTTAATCTGCCCACCCACACGAAATTGAAGAGCCATGAAACAAGCGCACCCAGAGTGGAGAGGGCGTTTCCATGTCCTCACCTCGGGCAAAGTGATTGGCCAATGCGGGTGGCAGTCATTTTGTAAAGCAAAACATACCCGCCCAGTGTCCCCGGGATGAGGAGAGGACGAGAGTTTGAGCAGAAGAGAACAGGGAAATGAAGTTGTCAGACAGGCCAGCCCAGCAACTCTCGCTCCATAACTAGGCAGCTAGCAAGTTAGGTGACAGGCGGTCACGAGTGGAGATTTATATGAAATACAACAGCTATGAAGGTCGTCCGTTTGAACAACTTGTAGCTACAATTGGTACGTATTAGAGAGCTACACCCAGAGATCTCAGATAACGTTCAAAGTAGCGTTACAGTGGACAAAAGTGAGGACAACTTGCTAGCCTGCTAGCTAACCTTTAGCCGCCGAGCCTCCTTCAGCTTCAACACCACAGTTCACTCGGTGAGTCTTGACAGCCTCAGCTGAATATTTCAGCAGTGTGTGATGTGTGTTTCACGGTGCTCGCTGTCCACGTACTGACGCCAGTCCGCTAGTTTTCTTGCTACAGCTAACTAGGTCACAAGCTAGCTCAACTTTGCTGCTGAACACTGCTGTAACGTTGACATTGTTACCGTCTTATTCCACATTTTATCCTCGTTTCGGTCTAAAAAAAGTTGGCATTTTATTCTGGCATGGTCAATGCTAACTCGTGAAAACTAATACCGAAGGTTAAACATGTCGTAGAAGTGTAACTTTAGCGCTAATCTACCCGCATTATCTTTGAAAACTACTGTAAGGTTAGCAATGTTAGCTAGCTGTGTGTGTCATGTTCTTTAACCCTGTCGTTTTACTTATGAGTGTCGAATTTCAGTCAGGCAGTATAACTAATAAACAGTATCGTTGCTTGCTTCAGGTAAGAGTTTTTCAGCCATTTCCTGATGCAAGGAGGTACAGGAAGTTGAATTGCTCTTATAGCATGTCAAAGTAATTTGAAACACTTTTATTTCCTCAGAGATTTGGGCTTGTAACACCAGCTTTCAGTCATGCCTTTTCCTTTTGGGAAGTCTCAGAAGAGTCCAGCTGATATAGTGAGGAGTTTGAAGGAGAATGTGGCATACATGGAAAAGATGGATGCTGGGGACAGCAAAAAGTGTGAAAAGGTGGGTCTCACATTTGAGCTGTGTCTATTATTCTTAACACCTACTGCTAGTCTTAGTCATTAACTGTTTTTTCATATTAAAGGTTGCAGAGGAGGTGTCAAAAAACCTGGCTTCACTGAAGGAGGTACTGAGTGGAACAGGTGACAAGGAGCCTCAAACTGAAGCGGTGGCTCAGCTTGCTCAAGAGCTGTACAACACCAACCTCCTCATCGCCCTCATTGCAAACCTGCAGAGGATTGATTTTGAGGTGGGGAAAATGTACCTCTTTCTGCCGTGATTTGATGTGTGTTAAACATATTGATCCCTCTGTTCCAACACCAAATGGTCAGCAGCGCTCCCACTGCCTGATTTGAACATTGATGCCCAAAGCAAAAAACCATGTTGCATATCATCAGTTAGCCGTTCATCTCTCGAAGTGCTTTTTTTTTGTTTTTACAGGGGAAGAAGGATGTGGTTCATTTGTTCAGCAATATTGTGAGACGTCAGATTGGAACCCGTACACCCACGGTAGAATACATCTCTACCCAACAACAGATCCTCTTCATGCTTCTGAAAGGGTAAGTTCATCTTTTCAGGCTGCAGGAAGTCACTTTTTGAAACATTTTAATGTGAGTGGCACTGTTACATAACCAACATGAACTACTCTTAAACTGTAACCAAATCATTTTTAGGTACTTTTTTAAAATGCTTTTTTCGTAAGATCACATTTCTTCAACATGCACTGTGATTTCTTTTTTTCTTTTTTTAAACATAACCCAGTATGTGTTTCGACAACTCCCAGAGGAACGAGCGCTAACTTGTTGCCTTCACCTGTGGGTAATGCATGTTGATGAAGAGAGTGATAGTAGTGCTGGTTTTACAGCTCTAAAGAAACTGAGTCATCCTGTTTGGAGAGCAGCATGTGTTACGGCTGCATTGCATTATGGTCGATTGAGTCTGCTGTTTTCCGACACAGATTAGAGTAGGTTTACACATACAAGGAATTTGCTTTGATGTATTACAGCGCATACATAAACACAAGGATTGAAGTTGTAAAAAAATAGCTAAAATATGTGCAGTTTGTAAGAATTGAATCTGCAAGAGCTGTGCAGGTTTTTGAACTTGGTTTTAAATGTCACGTCTCGAAAGAGGAACAAACAGTTTGAGTGATCGGAGATGGACATCTAAACCTGATGTTTAACACCAATGTGCAAGATGATTCTTCTGCTAGACACTCTTTTTTTAATATAATTTGCATGTGAACTGTCTACATTCAAAGACTTTAAAAAAACATCACCATAGGAAATAAGGCCAACATTTTTTACTGACAAATGTAATGCCTCTAACAGTGTTTTAAAGTGTTAAGAGTGACATTTCCAGTGTTTGTTTTACACTGTATTGAATGCTGATGATGTAAATGACTTGCCTTTGACCTGACACGCATTAACTGTGCAGATATGAGAGTGCAGAAGTGGCTCTGAACTGTGGGATGATGCTGAGAGAGTGCCTGCGCCACGAGCCTCTGGCACGGACGGTGCTCTTCTCTGAAGACTTCTACTGCTTCTTCCGTTACGTAGAGCTCTCGACCTTTGACATTGCCTCAGACGCTTTTGCCTCATTTAAGGTGCGCTGCTGTATTTTCTTTCAGTTTGACATATTCCTCATACCAACAGTTCTTATCTTACCTCTCGCTCTTATCTATTCCCTCTCAGGATCTCCTCACAAGGCACAAGATTATGTGTGCGGATTTCCTGGAGAACAATTATGACCGGGTGAGATTTCTGCAGTGGATTTTGACCTTTAAAGGAGAGAATGCCTATGACGTGCCTAATATACCTTTATTTATCTTCAGGTGTTTACAGAATACGAAAAACTGCTGCACTCTGAGAACTACGTCACCAAACGACAGTCTTTGAAGGTAGAACATCCACTTCTGTCAAATGAAAAGCACTGTTTTACTGACATGCTCTCAGTTGATTGTGCATTGACTTTAACAAGTGCTGTGTCTAAATATGCATATGGAACATGGGAACCTTCAACACTCAATGACTGCCATCTTGGCTACATAACAAAAGTTGCGCAACCAGCCACTGTTGTGGTTGCATTGGTATAGACAGCACACTACAAATAAAAGTTATACCTGTTTCTTTTTCAGTATTTAATAAACGTACCACCATGCTGGTTTTGAAAAGAAACCCCAGCTGATTTGATTGGGTTAATTGCGTAATCTGTAATGTTTTGCTACCTTGAACAACAATGTTGATAGCTAACTAGCTAACAGCAGCGATCATCACTTGCGTTGAGGGCACAGCAGCCATGTGCGATTTGATTTGAAATACTACATGGTCGAAATTCACACACTGCACAGATGTTCACAGTGTATGACATGCAGTATGCTAAAGGAAGTATCCGCAAAGGTCTTACAATAAATTCCATACTGTTTTTCAGCTCCTTGGGGAACTTCTTCTGGATAGGCACAACTTCACTGTGATGACAAAGTACATCAGTCGGGCAGAGAACCTGAAGCTGATGATGAACCTGCTCAGAGACAACAGCCGGAACATCCAGTTTGAGGCGTTCCACGTGTTCAAGGTAAGCACAAAAAACATGTCGTCGTAGTTTTGAAACTAAAGCTACTTTAGAGCGTAGAGCAATACTTATAACACTTAGGATTACTACTGTATTACACTGTACATTTCTAGCAATAATCTGGTTTTCATCATTAACATCTTTATTAAAGGGGCCCTATTATACTCATTTTCAGGTTCATATTAGTATTTTGTGTGTCTACTGTGACATGTTTACATACTTTACTGTTCAAAAAGCTGTTTATTTTTCCTCATACTGCCAGGCAGGGGGGAGTGTGTGGCAGAGAAATTCCTTCTGGAGGGAACACAGGGATTTTAGCCTTTGCAGACCATTTACATACACAGAAACCCATTTAAAACACTACAGGAAAAGGAAGACTCCAAAAAGTATAATAAGGCCCATGTAAATACTAATACATCACTGTTTATATTGTTATACATACATGTTTACATATTTAGTGTTATAAATTATAGTTAATATAAATAATTGTATTCTATTTATCTTCTTTTTGCCGATATTTACTTGAACTTATTATTTTGACGTTAGTTCCCTAGTAGTCAAGAGGTAAAAGAGAAGTAACAACAGAAGAAATATATAATATCAATATTTTATATTTTCATTCATTTTATACTGAAATGAAGCAACTATCGCAAATGTAATATCCCCTGGTATAAATAAAATATTCTGATTATTTTGAAGAGAAATTCTGCTGACATTACTACTTTGAACATTGAAAGTGGTGTATACATAAAAAAAATTGTCTCCTTTTTTTTAAGGTATTTGTTGCGAACCCCAACAAGACCCAGCCCGTGCTGGACATCCTGCTGAAGAACCAGACCAAACTGGTGGAGTTCCTGAGCCACTTCCAGACCGACCGGTCAGAGGACGAGCAGTTCTGCGACGAGAAGAACTATCTGATTAAGCAGATCCGGGACCTGAAGAGGCCCGCGGCACCGGAGGAAGCTTAAGGTGCCCGGAAACAAGCGCTCCATCAGGTGGTTGAGGTTTAAGGTGGTGCTGGCTGGAGCTGCAGAGAGAGAGAGAGAGAGAGAGAGAGAGAGAGAGAGAGAGAGAGAGTCTAAAAAGACATGCTTCATTAAAATCTTATTAACTACAAAATATAGGAAAAAAAGTACTTCCTTCACTTTCTATTTTTTTTTTTTTGTTTGGATGTGAAGGTGATTTCCATCCAGCAACCTGAGTGGGCCAATAACTGTTATTTAAACCATAGTGCTTATCTTCTTCTTCTTTAGTGATAATGAAAAGTCCGTTCTTGTAATGTTGGACCTTAAACTGTTATCCTTTCCACCAAACACCGATGCTGGCAGAGAGCGTAGAATGACAGAAACGTCGCCCCATTCACAGCCAACGTGTGATCTTTAAAGTCTTTCTCAGAAAACATGTCTATATTTTAGAGATCGAGAAGTAAATATATTATTTTTCTAATGTATCTTCATGGTAAACGGCTTAAAACACACTCTCTCTGAACATTTAGTCCTGCATAGGTTTGGTTTATTGCCTTATTGTAAGCTGTTGTGTTGTACAGGGACTTTATTGATTTTTTTAGATTGGCAGAGTGACATTCTGGCCGGGTCAGCACATAGCCATTTTTTGGTGATTCATATGTAGTTAATAGGCCTTTTGGTTGCGTGTGTAAGGTCAGAAATGTGCAGTGCTGTGCTTGCCGATGCATTAGCTGCCGCAGGAAGAGGAAATCAAAACCATAGAGGAATCGATTAATAATGCTGCAATTCTTTTTCTCTTTTTTTTTTCCGGCTGCGCTCAGCGAGGCTTACATGACTGAAATAGAAACATCAGATAATGCTGCAGGGTAGCAGCCACCCATTCAATGCTAACGCGGACAGCCAGGATCCACCCATTGATCTCAGTGAGAGCCTCTCGTACACAAGCACAGATAGAAAGCCTTCATTTAAAAACAACTCATTTGAAACTACCTGACAGTTCTCATTTCAACACTGCATAACATAAGATATAATGCCGTTTACAAGGAGGTGTTGCCCATGACGATGCATCATAAGTATGTTACACTGAATCTATTATAGTCATACGAAAGCATGATAATTCTAACTTTCATCATGAAGAAATTCCTTTTTTTTCATTTGACGCATATTGAACATCTGTTGCACAGGATTTGAGGATATTAAGTAATAGACATTTCATTTGACTGGAATAATTTGCTTAAACAAACATCGCCTCGATTACATGTAAACTCATCCGTACATTAGTTACCTCGTAACCAAAGAATACAAAAAGAAAAGGGGGTGGCAGAGGAAAACACGAAACAACTTCATGTTCTTCTCTTTATTGCTAAACCGATTATTATAATACTTTTTAATAATAGTTTAAGTGTTGCAGTGACTTATAATGACGTATTTTTGTCAGCCAGACCCAGAAGTTAGCATCGTAAAGGGCTCCCTCGAGAAAAAGCAATTGGATTTCCCCATTTGATTTAGTCATATTGCAAAAAATAACGTGCAGATCTCTTCAGCTTGTGTTAACTACATATTCTAGGCACCAAACGAGTAAAAACCTTTTCCGACTTTGAGACAAGTAATTGTAAATTGCTACGTTTTTTTTTCTCCAGGTTTCAGGACTCACTCCTGCACCACCCTATAGAACACACTGTAACATGCCCATGATGCATCAGAAGGCTCTTCGTCCTATCAGATGTCAATACATTGCCAGAATAACCACAAGCACTTTTTTTAAAACAAGTTTGTTTTGGATGAAGAGCACTGAATTTCTTGAGTTCCTCACGTGCATCACTGATTAGTTTATATTTCTTTAAAGAAGCGTTGATATGATTGCCTTACTTCCCCCATTGTCACTAAAATGACACATTGGGGATTTCAAGAAATATGTTGTCTGTGCGCACAGTCTCCTAGTATATACCTCATGGGATTTGAGTTTGCAAATGCTGTGTTCTCTTTCCTTTCCTTCCTTTGACCAGATATTTGATTTGACAGTTTCAAATACACAACAGTGGTTTGTATGCATGCCTAAACTTGATGTATATGTTCAAACTTGAACGAGAACTGCGACCTGGTTTTCACAATGGAAAGCTAGATTTTTAAACTTAAATATTTCATTGGGTGGCGCCACACAAACGTTAATTCATAATGAATTGCAGTGCGGTGCCTTGTAATGAACGTTGCCTTATTTAAAGACATTTAATGGATTTTTTAAAAACCAAAGTCAAAATGTACATTAGAAGTTCCAAAATGCATTCATTTCTCCATCTAGTGTAGCTTTATCACCATTCGCTCAATGTAATCTTATGAGTGTGGATATATATTTTAATAAACTACACTCAGCTGTGGTGGATTAACTTTTTTTTAATCCCTATTTGGTACACTGCACCAGATAGTCACAAGGTCAGCATTAACGGATCCATATGAAATTTGGGAACTCTGCTGTGAACGTGGTACATTATGCACAAATGGACTGAAGTCCTGCACACAGGGCACTGTCATGCCACCAGTTTATGAAAGAAAGTTTGTCTGAAAGTCTGTTTTTCTTTAAAATACCCTTACGGTGATCAACTTTTCAACTTGTTACTAATGTGAGACACAATTTCTCAAAAATGATACTAATTAATCGGACCTAACCTGCAAACACAAGTCATTATTTATATCTTAATGAGCACAAACACACTTACAGCTTGCTGACAAAGTGTTGCGTTATAATATCCAAGATTATCTGACTTTTTTTGTGGGAAAAAACTCAACTTTGAGAAGAATATTTTTTAATTTGCTCATGCAAACTTTCTGAAAGTGTCATGACGTTGCGCTTTGGAGAGGACGTGCTGTACACAGTCGTCCCATCGGGGGGCGCTGTTGGCAACATTTGGTATTACTAAAACAAAGCATCTCATGTTTCTATAACCCTACCTCTAATATGAGTATATAAATCACTGGCAATATTATGTAGATGTCAACACAAATTCCTTATGATCAATACTATATATTTCATGATTTAGGGGTTTTCTGTTTTAAATATTTGTTGTGCTTTACTTTTTTTTCTTTTTTTTTTTTACTCTTGTTGCCTTCTCTTTTCCCCTCCTTCTCTTTCCTTTATTTACCATGGGAGCCAATTATGTGTACATAACTTTATAAAGGATAAAAAGTGTGAAAGCATTCATGAAAATAAAACTTTATGGCAATTTATACGCGTGTGTTGCTTTAAGGGTTGAGTGGACTTGGATAACTGCTAGCAGCTTAGCGGCTGCACACAGGTGTTTCCCATTATGTGTGTGTGTGATATATCAGGCTAAGTGGAAACACTTGTGTTTGACTGACCACTGACATTTATGGCTTCTTTAATCTTTGGTTATTTTTTTTCAATGTATAGGACAAACATTTTGGAAAGGAAGAGTTTTTCTCCCCTATGTTTAGTTTTACTCCCATAATTAGTCTTAAATGAAGTGTGTAGACCAAACTAGAACTGGTGTGTAAAGGCTTAAAGTTCTGAAAATAACTTAATATTTGGAATTTATGATCAGAACCCACGTTAGTTACAATGTTTGACAAATAAAATATCTTACATTTATTTATCTCTGGGGAAATAGGGTTTAATGTTTTGTGACAGTTGCTCTATTTTAGAAGCACATAAATAAAAGATCAAATTTATATAATACAAATATTTATATCTAACACAGAGTGAAACGCTAAAATATATTAAATAAAAGAAGATATTCATTAAAAAAAACGAGAAGTTGAAGTAAGATGTGCAATAAAATAAAATGTGCAAAGAATCAATTATTCAATTAAATCTATTTACAAAAGCAAATTAATATGAAGTAAAACCTCAATTAAATAGAAATAAAAATGTGTATAAACATAAGAAGTTAAATTAAAAAAAAAACACTGAAAAGTGGAAATGTGAATATATTCATTACAGCTTACTGAAACACATTTTCTGTCCTTTTTGAAAGTGCGGCACAAGTGTTGTGTATATGGATACAGTTCAGTAGCCTGGGATTCCATTCAAAACATTTCTAACATGTGTGTGTTTTAAGTCATTTTAAAGGTTTAGTGTTTGGTTTGAATTGACAAAACCAAATTATTAAGTAATTTTGGTTTTAAAACACCTTTCTTTTTTGGAAAATGTTTGTTTTAGAGTGTCTGCAACATGTTGATAATTCAATAGTCCATAAGTTAATACATTATATTTGTCCTTATTGTAAAAGACTTCTAACCAAGATCAATTCTTTCTGTGAACTATTTTAACAAAAGATGAAAGGAAATGTATTTGAATGAATTACATTGTATATCTCCAGAAGATCATTCTAGACAGTCAGTCACCGCTTGCGTCTTGTCAAACTTCTTTATCCAGTGATGCAAATGGATATTGCTAAAAAATAACCCCCCCTCCCAGTGTAAGCCCAGTTCAAAACACTGGGGCACATTCCACCCTACCAGGAGGTTTCCAACAGGAGGCCGGCTCAATGGGCTGCAGCTCTATTGTTGCGTGGAGGTCAATTATACCACCCGCAAACTCGCTTAAAACCAAACATCATTATTCCTCCACCAGAGGCAGCTCTAAATTCAAATTCATGTTTCAAATTTACATCCGTGAACTAACGCTGTTTTCAAGAAACAAACTTTAAATAATACCATAATTAACCTTCTTTCTTTATCACTGCAGGCTTACTGAGATCAAGCACACTTGGTGGAAGACCAAAGTGGCAGTTGCAATTCATTGTATTTCTCATTGTTTTATTGTATAAATGTACCAAAAAATCAAACAAGACATTATGATCGAAAATCAGAATAGGTTTTATTTACCAAGTAGTTTTCACATGCGAGGAATTTACTTTGGTATGTGGTGCATACAAAGACACAGAAAGGAGAACGTAGCAAAACCAAATACAATTTAAAATAGGACTGTTAAGACTATTATAATAAATTAACAATATTTACATTTGACAAATACTATATACTGTATTTAAAGTGGAGAGCTGTGCTGATTTAAAAGAGGTAGTGAGGAGAAGAAATTAGCAACATGCAGGATTTACAATAAAAAAAAAAAGATCTAAAATAATTAAAGTACATTTAAATCATATTCTCCTTTAGAAAGTGTCAGCTAAATCTAATGTAAGGCAGTTAAAATGAAAGTAAACAAATATATATTTAAAATGATAATGTATTATTGATGTTATTTATTATTATAAATAGTATATAATTATTTATTTGTATTCATTTCAATCAATGAATCAATTTGCACAATTATAATGTATATTCCAATGTCTTTTCTATTGTGAGTTTGTATAAACTTGCTCGTAATGTCGATTTTAAGCTTTAATTTTGATTTGTATTCTTACTATATATACTTGCCGCTAATGTTAAGTTTGACTTCTTATTATATTTGTATCTTATTGTATATTTAAAAAAATGTTAACTCATGTAATGCTTGACACTGCTGCTGGAAAAAAATGATTTCCCAATTTTGGATAAATCTATCTATCGTATTATAAACATTGATTATTAAAAAGTTAAAAAATCATCCTCATTATGAAATCCACAAAACCTAGGACTTGATTTTAGAAACTTGTGTCATTAATCGAAAAGTAATGTTTGTGATTCTGTTTTCTGTTCACTAAACGCACCATCTGAGCCTATAGCAGCAGAGCAACAAACATTATGGGAAAGTGGGTTAAAGTTCAATCGGGGAAGAAGGCAAGTAACGCTGTTCCCACAGTGGGGGGCATGCTTTGGAAAGCATCTGCATCTAACTTGGTGTAGCTATAGTGAGGATATCTCCGCAAACTCCACTGTTGTGCAAAAAACAAAGTTAGTGGGTGATATTTGTGTGCATATGAGGCGGGATGGGGACTCCTGCACGCCGCAGAGCATTGTGGGGGCAGGGTTTACAGGGGTTACAGGTCACAACCCTCCTGGGTTCCTTTGGCCAGCAGAGAGCTCTGAATGGATAGTCGAGGTGGGTCCATCGAACTATCCGCAGAGAAGCGTCCAAACTGGGGCTTTAGCAGGAAAGGCTTCCCGTGGGACTGCGCCAGGAGACATTTTGATGCCTACAAAAATAAGTGTTTCTGTGTGTGTGAGAGCGGATTCAGAAAAGACGACATCCGCAAAGATCTGCCTGCTCCCCCTCTCGCTCCCCACCCCCACAAAGAGGAGGAAAAACAACAAAAAAGATGCTCTCACAATTTCATGCATGACAGAACTTTTTGTTTGTGCAAAGAGGGTGGCAAAGAGGGCTGCAGAGGGTAACATCTGCGGACCAAGTTACGGAGAGATGTTGGAGAGGTCTGCAGGATGGGAAGAAGTGGATCCACGTAATGCAAAGGTAGGCTTTGTGCTGCTAACCATGTTTTATGTACAACACATTAACACACGTGGTCGCTTTTAATGCTTCACAAGTGTTTGTTTTCAAGAAAAAGTTCGCATATTGTGAAATGTGTTTTGTTTTGGGTTACTTCTCCTAATGCTAATATGTTAAAGACAATTACGCAGCCTTTCCACGTATTGTGCACCAATCTTAATCCATGTTAAGATTCATGTAAAAGCTCAAACTTTAATATCCATGAGTCACAATAACTTTATTAAAAAGTTGATTTGCACACGTCTTTGTTTGGTTTTACTGGCACATTGGGCTCATTGGGCTCATTAAACCCTATTTTTAATAATCCGCAAAGGGTTACAAATCCTCACACCCGCAGTTTACCAGCTGCTGATGGTTGCTTGCGTTACGTAAGTGATTACATGTGCGCAGATATGATTGCGATCATTCTTTAATTGATGCTCATCATGGCATCACGAGACGCTGTTGGCGCCAGTTTGTTAAAGCTGCACACAGAGCGAGGCGAACACAGTTAGAAACTCATCAGAGCTCACTAATATAGTCATCAGTTGGAGATAATAGCTCATAGGAGAGAAATGGGAAGATATTGTTACTTTTTAGGCTCCTATTTGTATTAATTAGAGCGCATTTCTAAGTTTAAACTCCCCCCACGTGTGTGCTTTGTTTGTGCCAAGCAGGAAATCAGTGTTTTTATCCTGAACACGTGGACCACGTGATAGACACATAGATTTTAAAAGGAATTATAATTTCCAATAATGTTCCACAATCTTATTAAAGTATAATGTCACCTTTCAATGTTGGACATTTAAATAATTATAACCTAATACATAGTCAAGTACTAATATAGGCTGCAATGTTCAGGTAGCCTACTGACTGTTTCCAGTTACTTTGTACTTTAAAGGGGACCTATCATGCAAAATGCACTTTTGTACGTCTTTTATACATGAATATGTGTCCCCGGTGTTCCAGGGAACTCACCAAGTGTCAGAAAACACAACCCTCTCTATTTTCCTCCATACCCAAATCTCTAAAAAAGGGGCTGCAACGGATCTGATCAAAACTGATCCAGATTTGAACACTGTCCTGCCGTCAGGACGGTGGCGCTACGGCTATTGGGCCAACTCTCCACCTATCATGGGAATGTGGGGTTGGGCCACGGCCGGCCATTGCTGCTCGAAATCGCTGGATACGCTGTAGTACATATGCCAGGCCTGTAAGTGGCGCTGTAGTCTGCCACAAAAGCAGCGAAGAAGACTTCCCGCGCATATGGTAACCATGGTTACCCTTCTGCTTTTTTTCTCCCTCCCCGAGGCAAGCGTTTGCTCCCGCTGCTTTAATTCAATGCAATCCCTCCCCGTCGAGGCAAGCACTGTAATTCTCTCCGGTTAGTCCACCAGCAGATGACAAACACCCACCTCTCCGCCTCTTCCAAGGAACGAGGGGACCGTGCCTCAGAGTTTCAGTTAGGTTTTCTTTCGACGGTCAAGATGTCCGTTAAAGTTTAAATCTTCCGGACAAAATTAGAAAAGTGCCGGTCAAAGGTCTTCTTTGTTATTTATTGAGCTTTAAAACAAATGAATAACGACTCTATGGGCCTATAATAACACGGAGGACGGAGATCTATTTTTCTCCCCCTCTTCTGACTTCATCAGTGCATGGCTCCCCTCTCCTGCAGGGGGGCGTGGTCAGCTGCAGCTCACATAATCAGACCCGTAGACAGCAAACGGCAAATAGAGCGAAATGAGGCATGGCTAAAATGCATGATCTGTTTGGTATTTTGAAAACAGAAACGTATAAATATACCTTATATAGGTATGGCCCTACAATATATCATTTAAATATA